AATATTAAAACAATTTAAATTTATCAAAGGTCAAAGTAATTTCTTTGTTTTTTGTTAAGCACAGAGCTACACGATGGGCTATCCGTGCTGTGCCCACCATTGGTATCAAAAACCGATTTTAAGAGTTATAAGCTTCAGACTTACCGCTGAACAACCTGAGGCCAATAATAAAAGTAAATATTTAACTGAAATTACCAATAAAATAATAATTTAAAATATAAGCAGATATCAAAATTAAAAAAAAGATACTTAGGTCATGCATTGTCTTAAATGTTAGTTGGAAAATAAAGTGATATACAGTTATTGAAGTTTGTTTTTATTATTTTGTTTCAGAATCTTGTGCAAGGTTATTCAAAAGATTATCTGCGCATAACCGTCCCTGATTTTTTGCTGATAGATTAGAGGGAAGGAAGAAATAGTCAACAACACCCACTGCCACCTGTTGGGCTACCGTTATTAACAGAATAAGCATATATTTTTGTTGTTGTTTCTGTTGTTGTTCATTTTAATTTTCACTTAAGATTTGCAACAAAATCTATATATTGAAAATTAGTTATAATCTATATAATCTATATATTGAAAATTAGTTATAATCTATATATATTGAAAATTAGTTATAATCTATATAATCTATATATATTGAAAATTAGTTATAATCTATATAATCTATATATTGAAAATTAGTTTTATAACTAATTTTCAATATATAGATTATACTTTTCCTTTGCAAAGCCCCAAAAGCATCTATTAATCTATTAGTCGCACACCTTTTCTCATGCTGATTGACGACTAACGTTGAATCACCTATTTAAGAACAATATAAATCAGTCAACTGAAGATCTAGTAAGTCTAACATTTGGGGAAGAATGGGCACATCTTTAAGCTCAAGTTTATTTTTTTTTTTTTGTACAACTGCTGTATATATTTTGTCCTGTGATCGTTTTAATTAGTTTTATCAGACAAGAAAAAAGGAATACAAAATTTGAAGACACACAGACGTACAATACTATTTACTAACACCTGGTTAAATTTGTGAAATTAAGTTTTTAGATAAAGTAATAAAATAGTTATAGTCAAACAGAACACTTTTATGAGATTCATCATAGCATAATCTTTGTTAAAAATTACAATTTATTAGAGTTATCGTAACATAAGTTTTTAGTAATATAGATTTTTTCAATTAAATCCATATTTTTATATACTTTTAGAGATTCTCTCTCAACCGTCTGCTGCTAATGACCCAGAACATCTGAAAAAAGCAAAAGCTTTGTTTAACAGTTGCAGAAATGAAAGTAAGTTAACCAACTTTTATATTGGATAGGACAAAACATTACAGATGTTCGATTTTAACTCTTGAAGAACGTTAACTAAAGATGGGCAACACTCACAATAGATATTAATAAAACACACCTAGCTTCAGACGGACACTCTTCTTCAATGTATTGACTAACCTAAAACCGTTCGAACGTGTCACTTACATAAAGAAACCTGATTGGTCAATATTTGATCGTTTGTTTTTGAATTTCGCACAAAGCTGCTCGAGGGCTATCTACGCTAGCCGTCTCTCTAACTTAGCAGTGATAGACTAGAAGGAAGACAAAGAGTCAACACCACCCACCGCCAACTCTTGGATTACTCTTTTATCAAAGAATAATGGGATTAACCGTCACGTTATAACGTCCCCACGTCTGAAAGAGAGAACATGTTAGGTAATGGGTATCGAACCCGCGACCCTCAGCTTGCTAGTCGATTACCCTAACCACCAGGCCCTGCTATGCGATTGGTCGAAAATCGGAGACATTTTAGCATATATTCAAATAATGAAATAAAATAAAAAGAACAACGCTATAATTTATTGAAAAGGTAATCTAAGTAAAAGCTAAAAAAGAAATATAAATACTTATGTAGATATACATTTTATTAAAACCAGTGACGTCAGCAGTGTCTCTTTTCTACTAAACGAAAAAGCACCTATAATAACATACTCAAAAAAGTTTGAAACAATCAAATTTTCGTTTTTACTTTTTTTTATCTCCATCGCTATATAATTTTTCCGTTTTTCTTCGGCCTTATAGCTATGCGCTCGACTCGCAGTCTGCAAATCGCGAGTTCGAACTCCGTCACCGAACCTATATGTTTTTTCAACCGTGGGGTCGTTATAATGTGATGGTAAATCGCACTTTTTGTTGGTAAAGCAGTAACCCAAGAGGTGGCGGTGACTGTTGTTGACTAGCTGCCTTTCCTACAGCTTACAACTTCCAAATTAGGGATGGTTAGCATAGATAACTCTCAAGTAGCGAGAAATGAAATAAAACAAAGAAACCGTTTTTCACCCCTGTTGACTCATCATTATGTAAACAATTACAATACCACAGATTTAACTGGTTTTAGTGAAGACAATACATACATTGCATATTTATATACTTACATACACATCTATACTTATTGCTCATTATTAACTTATATTTTCGTTAAACTTGCGTTGTTAATTTGTTAAAATTGGCATTTCAGATCCATCTTTTGTACCACACAAATCACTTCCCAGCAACCCTTGCTTCAATACCGGAAATCACTAAGAGACACAAAAGTGCTAATTATCTTTAAAGTACAATAATTTCAAAGCTAATCCTCGAATGTCAAAAGTAAGAGACCTGAAATTCCATTTTTTTTTTTACGCTCATATGGGTGAAATCCCCTCAATGGATAAATTAAGGGGAAGTGCTTAAAAATATGCAGTTTCAGTGATTTTTATCAAACATATTGGGCTATTAGGTTCTAATGCTTAGCTAGTTTTCAGGGTTCAAACTACAACTATAAGAGATAAATATATCTTATAATTTCCTTCTTCTAGCTTATCCAGCTACGGGATTTCCATGTTCATTAAAAGTGGTTCTTAAAATAATTATTTTGTAATAATTACAAGAAATACTAATGTTTTGTATTGGTATATTTCTGTATGTACATTATGATAAAACGACCCGGTAATTTCAATTAAGACATTTCGAATGTCCATACTAATACATTTCTTTAGCACACAGAGCATCAGAGGGTGCCAGTGTACTGTTAAGGGATCTTGATTATTTCGGTGGATGGCCGGTTTTGAAAGGAGGTTCTTGGAATGAAAGCAGTTTTGATTGGATCAAAGTTCTTCACAAGATGTACAGACGCGGATATAACAAAGATATCCTGGTTTCCGTGAGGATGAATATAGACGTAAAAGATTCCAAATCTTTAATTCTCTTGGTGAGTACATTTCCGCCCCCTGAAGATCTTTGGAGTTAAAATTTTCTGCTTAGTTCATCATCAGTTTAAAATAAGATACGTTGTTTCAAAAATCTTCTTCAGATTATGTTGCTGTTATGAATATTCAGAGGTAGTAATCAACCAATTATGTTGCCGTTATGAATATTCAGAGGTAGTAATCAACCAATTATGTTGCTGTTACGAATATTCAGAGGTAGTAATCAAACAATTAGTCGACTTAGTATTTTTTTCAAAATGAAAGATCCGTTCAATTCTAATTGATGATATTTACTTAGATCACATAAACATGTAAAATACATGATATTTAATTATACATTATGTACTTGTGTGGTAAGAGAGTTAGTTGTTTACAGGTTGTGTTGATAAAGTTGTTCACAAGTCAGTGTTGACAATCATAATCGTAAAAGATCCGTTAGTTATATTATAAGTCAACTAATTATTCTTCGACTATTTCAAAACAGTTATATTTCCTTACGTTGATTTTGAAATTGTTATTGTAACATGAATTATCTTCCATTCACACTTTATAGATAGATAATCAAATGTGTAAAAATCATCAGTTAGAAATATTGTCTCTCGTGCTGACCTTCACATACCACTTTCCTACAGCTTAAAACGAACGTTTTACCTTCAATATATGTAAGTAAAGACTTGTAACGTATCATACATACTCAAAAATTGGGTTTACTGTCTATCATTACAGAATAAACTTTGCAACCAAAACAAACTATGTCCACATTACATTAACACTAACAATGGAGAACAGATTTTGTATGTCACTGAACTTAACAGTCAGTAAAACAAATTTATCTATTCTTACACTTTACATAATATTACAGAAAACTAAATGTACATTCACGAAATTCTTAATATTTTATGGTTCAATAGGAAATTATTTTCTACTTCTAAGTTACTACTTTCTGCTTTGATCTACAACTCACACATTTGTCGTTTAAATATAATGTTACAAAGATATGTACATAGTCTAACTTCTTGAAGGTGTAACAGTTTAGACATGTAAAAAAAATATCAATATCATCCATCTTAGAACTTGGATAATTGTATCTGAGAGACAAATACCTCTGACAGCATAATAACCTTTCATATTTACAAATAACACAAACTGAAATATTTATGGATTAACAAGATTAAACTAACCTTCATACAAGTAATGGTACATTTAAGTAAACGTACAATCCTCGTTATACTGTAGTTGATATAAGATTCCTGAAAATTTAGTAAAGTTCACAGTAGTAACAGGAATAAGTTAAAGTCATTACACAGTATCACATGGTTCTCCTTATGTTACAGTCACCTAAGTTCAGTGATGAGAGAATGTTATGATCATCAATAAAAACCATTCTTTTGATGCTAGATTGTTGCATAAAGCTGAACGTAATTGTCACTGCAGCATTATTTCTGCGGTGAAAAGAAAAACTTAGGTACTGAATGTTTGACGACATCGTCTAGTTCTCAGGTAAAGTAAAAGTAGCTGACAAACACCAAGATAATCGGAGTTTCCCCACATACAGACGTACAAAAGTTATATTCAATCTACACTAAACATATACTTTCTAAGTTATGTCAGTACCCGAGTTCGTAGTGTTGGCTGGAAATGTATCAAAGTTTATCCGTTATCAACGTTACACCATTTTTGAAAGTATTTAACTATAGATATGACATTTCCAGCTCAAAATGTGTTGGCTGGAGATGTACCAAAGTATTGGTTAAAATAGTATATCAGTTATTAACATTACATCATTTATTAATGTATTTAACTTCAGATATTTACCATTTTGTAAAGTGAACATTAATTTATGTAGAGTTTATTCTAAATATAATGTAAATACATGGACAGTGAGAGTGTATTATAATTGACTTTTATTTTACTACAAGTTTTCCACACGTTCAAAAGAAAGTGTTATCTGTTTTAGTTAACACTAAAGATCAGAAAGCTTTTCTAAACTTGTATATTTTCTAAACAAGCTGGCCAGTGACCTTGAACATGTTAAACTGTGGCCAATCTGAACAGTCCCCGATCTTCTTAGTAAATATCATTAGTCATAATGGCAAGTGTTATTTGATGATTGTATTCTTTCAGTGATAATAACACCAGCATTCTCACGGTGGTCTCATGTACTGCAGAACTGCTGTCTGTATATGGGTTACCACATGGTGGCCTTTGTAATTCTTAAAAGTCTGTATGTGATTTCCTAATAGTGTCTTAGTTTTAGACAGTCTGAAAATTTTAAGCATTTGGTATTTTAAAGAATAGAAAAAAGTTAAACAGTAAATTGTTCATTTATTATACTTAGTTGTAGGATGATTATTGGTTATAATAATTGTTTCATTCAAATAATATGTATGTTTTACTTGTGAAAACGAAACAGTAAGTGTCCCACAGAACATTGTATGAAAGAAGCTATGAACAGTTTAGAAATGTATGTCATACTTTCACAAGATTTGTGTATGCAAAGAAGTTTGCAGGTGTGTTTGTCAGTGATAAATTTTTAATAGTCTCAAATCTTTATTAATTTTAATCTTTCATAGAAAATGGATGGATAAACAGTAAGTCATTCATTTATTATTTTTAGTTGTAGCAAACTGTATTAGTACAGATGTTAAAGTATGTAAAATAATTGTTTTAACATAATTAAATCTAGACATTGATGATATAATAACATGTGGAAGTATAGTAACATTGTCACAGCACATTTGTTAAAATCCTATGGACAGTGATTAAAATAATTGTAATCACATATAGGACAATGATCATATGTAGAAGTCTACCCTTGTAAAACTCACATAAAATGAAACTATAAAGTATCATGTGTTAAATGAAATATTTTGTTAAGTTATAAAGTCATATTATAAAGTCAAATTTAATTATTCCATAATATCATCCTTTTTAGGACATATAACTGATCAGGAAATTTAATTAATTAACGAAATAGTGTTAAGCATCCTTTTTAGGTCGATTTAATAAAAAATAGGTCAATTAATTAACGAAATAGTGTTAAGCATCCTGTTTAGGATGATTTAATAAAAATAATTTAATTAACTGATGAATTAGTTTTAAGTGTCCTTTTAAGATGATTTAATTATATATATATAATTTAATTAGCTAATGTATCAATGTTAATCATTCTTTTTAAGACTATTAAATTATAAACGAATCAATTAACTATTGAATTAATGTTAAGTGTCCTTTTTATGACGATTTAATTATAAATGAATTAATTAAGTAATGAATTAGTGTTTAAACCAATTAATTATTCTCATTTTGATCAATTTTTTGCTGGTTCAATGGAACTATGACATCGTGGCCTCCTGTCAAAGGGCCTAGAAACTCGTTCTCTACTTGTGGTACTATTACGTAATTGTCTGTCATGGCATCTTAGCAATGCGTCCCTAACAACGCGTCCTCTGGTGACAGTTTGTTGAACTATAACGTCATCGTCTTTGATGGCATCATCTACCTTCCCTGTTGCCTTAGTTCGACAAGTGCGTGATGCTTTCTGCCCTAACTACTTGCAGGATCTGTAGTTCATAAAAGAACCATAGGACCTGCGATTTAAATAGTGGTGCGAGTTGAGCTCTTGGTTTAGAATCCGTGTGATGCTACAAAATTTTCCCCGCATTTTAAGTTATGGGTGCTTTATAAAAGTGACAGTCAATCCCCTAGCATGGATGATGGGTGGTAGAGCCTGCTGAATGACTTCCTTCCCTCTAGTCACTAGTTCAAAATTATGGATGGCTGCCATAATTACAAAAATTCAAATACTGAACGACAGAGTGCATGATGGGAATGAGGTCAGTGGCAATGTTTCTGGTAACTTCTTTACTCACCTTCAGATTAAAAAAAATATGTTACTTAAAGGAATTTTCTACCATCACATTTTTGGGGGCGAAGAGTTAGTTAATTTCACGTAATAAATGTCTTTATTACCTACGAGTTGAAATCCCGCCAACAGATGTCACGAATTGAACTTAGTGTTAAGATATAATCTATTTTGGGGGAGTAATTCATGTTTTCCTTTCCCATCTATAAGTGGAGTTTTTATTGAACACTAACCTGTAAGAGTAAAAACATCTTATATATTTGTTATTCATTGTCACAGGAATGAATGGTAATAAGAATATTTTACGATTTTACATATATGTTTACTTTGTAGATAAGAGCCATTGATAACCTGTTGAGCTGATCAGTATCATGATAATAACCTATCCATTGATAACATGTTGGTCAGTACGATCATAATAATCTATCCATTGATAACTTGTTGGTCAGTGCCATGATAATAACCTATCCATTGATAACCTGTTGGTCAGTGCCATGATAATAACCTATCCGTTGATAACCTATTTGTCAGTGCCATGATAATAACCTATCCGTTGATAACCTTATGGTCAGTACCATGATAATAACCTATCCATTGATAACCTATTGGTCAGTACCATGATAATAACCTATCCGTTGATAACCTATTGGTCAGTACCATGATAATAATCTATCCGTCGATAACCTATTGGTCAGTGGCATGATAATAACCTACCGTTGATAACCTATTGGTCAGTACCATGTTATTTTTTAAAGTACTACCTGGTGTGTGGGATCAGTGATCTTATTACGAAGGGAAAAACAAGATTACAAAACGAAGTATTGTGATAAACATATCAGATTCAAAACAACAGTTAAGAAATATAACATAAAGTTATTTCATTGAAATTTTAATTTCTGGAAATGTTTAAGGAACAAAAAGTGATAAAAATAATCTAATTGTCCAAGTTCTAAATCCATAAAATAATACGCAATACACTGATCACATAAACACCTTATAAAGTTCTGTTAGCAATATCAAAATTGGAAAAGCTTTGTGTTTAACTTTAAACACAAAGTTACGCAATGGGCTATCTGTACTATGCCCATACGGGTATAAAAACCTGGTTTTGGCATTATAACCCTTCAGACCTACTGC